CTTTTGTCTATTTATAGCTGTTGCGGCTAAATACAATCTTAAAGTTAAGCAGTTTAATGTCACTAACGCGTTCGTGCACGCCTAACTTGATAGAGAAGTGTACATGCGTATGCCCTATGGATATTAGAAGCCAAGTACCATACTTAAGCTCCAAAAGGCACTCTATAGGCTGCGGATATCGCCAGCGTTATGGCAACGAGACTTCACAGCAACGCTCACTAAGCTTAGGTTTTAGACTGTACCCTATAAGCTATGCTGTATGATCAAGGACAGCACTCTGGTCTTCTTCTATGTGGATGATTTCAATATAGCCTATGGCCAACACTAACTACACTAGGCTACCACATTAGTAGAAGATCTCAAAAAGACTTACTCAATGACTAGTAGGGACGATATCCAGTGGTTTCTTGGGATCGAAGTAAGGAGAGATCGAGAAAAACGACTTATCCACCTATCCCAAGGGGCCTACTATAAGAAGATCAGCCGACTAGCTAAGGACAAGACTATCCAGCACGATACCCTAATGAGCAGTGCTGAGCTAAAGCCACGAGACGGGCTAGCTACTCTACCAGAAATCACCAAGTATCAACGCAAGATTGGATCCCTACTCTACGCAGCTGTCAATACTAGGCCGGATATTGCCTTTGCAACGTCCCGCCTAGCTAGGTTTCTCTCCAATCCCAGCCAGGAACACCAGAGGGCTGCGGATCGAGTGCTACTCTACCTTGAAGAGACCAAGCTCCTAGCGCTGCAGCTAAGATTGGGCAATTCTATGCAAGTGGCTAGTAACGCATTATTTGCTAACAATACACTGGATCGCAAAAGCTCTTAAGGCTACACGATTAAGCTATTTAGTAGACTTATCGCCTAGCAAGCTAGCAAGCAAGATATAGTTACTATGTCTACTACTAAGGCTAAGCTTTTGGCACTATCACAAGTAGCTAAAGAAGCCATTTTTATATCAAGACTAATTAAAGAACTTAAGGTTAACCTACTAAATTAGATCAAAATCCAGTGCGATAACTAACAATCTATCTAGCTAGTTACTTAGGAGATATTAAGACTCTAAACTAAGCTTTAACACGTGGATATCCACTATTACTAGCTAAGGCAAGAAGTCGCTAGCGGACGGATCAAAGTCACCTACACCTAATTGACAGAAATGACAGCAGATAGACTCACCAAAGCTCTCCTAGTAAACTAGTGGCAGCGATTTCTAACTTAACTAGGGCTAGTAGAAAGCCGGACTTAAGAAGCAACCTAAAAAATAGCTCTGCTCGAGATCTAGGATCAAATTAAGCGTCTAGCGATCTAACTAACTAATAGTCTAGCTTGTAATCCTAATTAGCTCTAAGCTAAGGGGGTGTGTCAGATAAGTGGCAGAATCCGGGTGCGGACTCGAGCACCAGGATTCTGTGATCCCAACCAATCAGGGCTGATCGCCAAGACCTAACCCTAGGCGAGGCTAATACTTAGCGGCCTACCTAATACAAAAAGCAATAGCGATAGCTCTTATAAGGGGCGCGCCCTCGCGCCCCTACAGACAACAGAGCGCAGAGCAATCAATACAATTAGTTTCGACCATCAAGTTTATCACAGTCTTTTATCACAGTGATCCAAACAGGTCCTTGATCAGAAAATCCCTAATAGTCTGACAAAACTTTACTTAGGCGTTACTATATATAATAGCTACTAGAATAGTAGTTAAGAAGAATGAAAATCTTATTTAACTAAATAATATTCTTTCAATCTTTAAATATCCAATCTTTATAAGTAAAATACTACTTAAGTCTTTTTTATTTTATTTTTATTATTAACTTAAGCTTTTTTATTAGCTTTATTTTATTATAACTAGCTAGTTAAAGAACTTTCTATATGGTAGATAATGAGATATTATAGCTATAAATACTAGGATTACTAGTAATATTAGTACAGCTCTTCTTTTTTTTATACTTATTATAGCTTATGTTATTAAGAGTAGTATTATATATTTCTTTTTATTTATAAAAGTAGCTTATATATAAAGTATCTTTAAAGTACTATAGAAAAGTCTTAATTAAGTATATATTAGGCTTAAAGTCTTACTAGTAAGCTCTACTATAGATTAAGTTAATTGTATATAGTGATAACGTGGTTCATAAGCGGGTTAGTTACCTAAGCGAGTTAGTCACTCCCTACTAGCGCGTTAACGTTGATACTACAACGCGTTATATCTTAATAACATAATTATTAATTAAATTATTCTAAATTTAATCTTTAACGTGCTCTTTTTAATATCTAATTGTAATATATTTAAAGCTATAGACGCGTTACCTTTATCTATAAAGTGCTTTAAAGTATAATATCTAATTAACAGGCTAGAAAGGGCCTCTAACGCGACTATGAACTAAATTTAAAGCGACTAAATAAGTTAAAAGAGAAGGCTATTATTATGATTATTGTTCCATTAGAGTCTAGTGAGCTCGAGGCTATGTAAGACTTTGGCCGAGGCCGTTCTAACTAGATTTTATTTACAAATACGAGTTTGTGCTTGAAGTGTGTCTGTGGTG